ATCACAGAAATTTCTATCTCCAATACACATGGTCATTGAATTGTGAAAGGAGAGTTCACTTAACTCCTTGAGGGAGAAAGAAAAAAAAATCATACATAGATTTACAGTCTACATAGAAGGTGTATTCACCTAATTTAGAATGATCCACTGAATCAAGTTTTGGTGATGTAGAGCATATGAAAAATTAATCAGAGGACTCTGCCATCCTGCCTTTGTATGTCTGCTTAACTCACTGCAGGCGTGAGCACACATCATGTGCTATTTGTGTAGGTTGACACATGCAATTTATAGGGTTCAGAAGTGGAAAGAACTTGAATTATACAACAGAAAAGGTTTGGCGTGCTCCAAAGTTGAATTTATTTAATGCAAAAGGAAGATGTATGTTAACCTTAAAAAATGACAGGACTCAGTGGGTACTTTTACATCTGAATAGACCATTTTACCCATTTGTCCCGTTCACAGCAGCAAATTCAGTGAGCATCGCACTGGGTGGCGGGGAAAGCGCGCGTGGATTGAGTTCAAAGATTGGGACCATGCATTTGTATTTCTGTTTTCAAGTTCAGATAATCTGAGTAATGAAGCTACTTTTAGTGTCACTGTGGCTCTTTTGAATTTGATTTCAACCCAACTTGAGAGGTCAAAGAAGATTGTCACAGCTTCTATAAATATGATATTTTGTCCAAAGAAAGGAGTCCAGACTATACAAAGCTAGTGTTGGGAGTAATGGGAATATCAAGGGTACCCCAACCAGCAAGGAAGGCTTTCTGTTGAGCTTTGAGTGAACCTCAGGAACAGATGCAGTAAAAAAGGCTTTACTAGCTGTGATGTTCATAGAGCTTTTTTTTTTTTTTTAGCATAAGTACAAACATTGTGAAATACTGTTCTAAAATGAATATAATGCAGTCCCAATATTCTTTTTGAGAATGTAGAATGCAGGATGTGCCAATTTAGCAAATTAAGCTTTCAAAGTGGGCATTACACTTTTTTTTTTTAGCTGAACAATTCAAAAGCTGTCAAAATAGCTGTTACTTCCTGCCCTGAAAACTGTCAGAAATCTATAAATAAATCTAAAATAATACAAAGTAGAAAAAAAATCTTATGCCAGCAGTTAATGTTATTGTTGTTAATTCTGTGTTTCTTTTTTTCTTATTGCAGTGTGTCCTATTCGGTGCATGTCTCTGAGGATTACCCAGGTACAGTGCAACATTCGTGTCCATGACACATTGTATGCGTGTTATCGCAATTTGCAGTATTCAGATGAGAATATTTGAAAGGATGTTGATGTGTTCCAGGTGCATCCTTATGCTAATCATTCTCCATTAGTTATTTTATCTTCACAGTCATATCTCCTTTTCAGGCATCATTTGTCAGCTGAGTCAGGGTGAGAAAACCTGGTTTACAAGTTTCCTGAAGCCAGGGATTGTGATGCTTTCAGTGTCAGGAGCCATCAGTGTCAGAGATCTGAAAGTGCTCAATTCCTCTTTGGCAAGATAGATAAGGCTTGATCTTTCAAGAGGCTGAGCAGTCTGGCACTTGTCCAGCAAAGCTCTTCACTGTGTCAGGCCTTAATGAAACTGCCCATGTTCTTAAAGTTAAGCCTGTGGTACGTGTTTTGTTACTCCTCAGAGTTTGATGGACCCATGGGTTGTGTATGCGTATGTCTCAGGTAACATAAACTTGTAGAGGTGTTCCTAGTTGCTCATTCCCAACTCCCTGATATAACCTGAGCTGGGTTGGCAAGAGCATGGTGACCTTAGACAAGGGGAATGATCCATGTGGAAGACAACCAAGCAAGGGAAGAAGGAATTTTTCAGCTAGCTTATTTAACAGAATCACAAAATGGTTGAGGTTGGAAGGGACCGTTAAGAGATCTTCTAGTCCAACCCATCCTGCTCAAGCTGGGTCAGCCTCTCTGGGCAACTCAGTCACCCTCACAATAAAGAAGTTTTATGTTCAGAGAGAACTTTCTGTTTCTCAGTTTGTGCCTGTTGCCTCTTGCCCTATCACTGGGCATCACTAAAAGGCGTTTGGCTGCATCCCTTTTGCAGCCCCCTCTTCAGATGCTTAAAGGCATTGATAAGATCCCCCCCTTCTCCTGTCCAGGCTGATAGCCCCAGTCCTGTCATATGAGAGATGCTCCAGTCCCTTAATCATCTTAGTAGCCTTTTGTTGGACTTGCTCCAGTAGCTCCATCTCTCTTTTATTTCCCTGTCACACAGACACTGCATAAATACTGCTGGTGGCATAAAGATCAGCAGAAGTAGAAGAGGGAAGTCAGGATAAAGGTAGACGAGGAAGTGCCTAAGTGAAGTTTCATGATCATACTGTTGGATTGCTTTTTTTTAAAGCATATTCTACACCAGTATTGAATAGTGTAAATATATTAAGTGATATGAAGTCCTTTGGTCCTTTTTGATGATTATCCATGACATCTCTGTAATATTTCTAAAATAAATATTTTTATTTCTTTTAGATTCTCTGAAAAAGTAAAGCTTTGAACTTGTTCTCTGATAGCAGGAGTGTACTGTTTGTTCACAGAATCAGTGTTTGAAGCAGATGCAGAGAGGTCAGACTCAGTATTGATGTTAAACAGAGTGGATTTTGTAAAAGAATGCTCACAGTGTTTATGAGAGAGATTTTTTTCTTACCAGTAAAAAAAAATAGAGGAAAAACTGCTACTAATCCTCATCTATTAAGCATGTAGTAACTGGAGAAACACAGTCATACCAGTTGTAACTTGATTGATTGACTGTTCCATTGACATGACAGTGAAAGAAGGAACAAACAATGGAAGAAATCTGCATCATATGTCATTAACCTTTTCTTTAATAAAATGTTGGCAATGGATTTATTCATTCTGGCAAAGGCACAGAACTTAGTGTCTGGGAATCAGTACGCTAAGTCACAAAACCAGAGCATTGAACCAACAGTGAGTCCCACACCAAATGAGGTCTTATTTCCTGGCAAACTCTCGTGTCTGGCAGAGCCCAAACCTCCTTTACTGTATGCAGCATGCTCTGATGTTCTACAAGGCTGAGTGACTTTGAATCAGTGTCACTAAAACTTGTTGAATATTCTCTGCTATCAGCCTCTGTATTTTAAAGTGAGCTAGAATTTGAGCATTTTACATTGTAGCTAGCTTGTTGAGGGGGATTTTTATTATTAACACCTAAGCCTTCAAGTCTATGGAAGAGCTGATCTCATTCTTGTCTCAAGCTTTTGTAGTATGGACATTTGCTTTGTGATGAAGGGTGTTTACGGTGTTAGGAATCATAATGACTTTTTGCCATTTTACAGCTTTGGGCCTAACGACTCCTTTTGACTTGGAGAAGTAGAGTTTTTGTTGTCTTTGTACTAAACCTCTAACTTAACATTACTGCTGACTGTGACAGTCTCTTCTCTTGAATGTATTTTAAGGGATGTTTCAGAGATGTGTCAGGGTGTCATGCCTTGAAAGCTCTGTGCTGGTATCTTCCTCAACTGCAAAATGATCTTCAAGTATTGCTACTAGTTGGTGGAGTTCAGAAGAGTATTTACCCATCAAAATATCACAGGATAAGTCTTTTCAGATCAAGACTTAACTTCCTTAGCTTGTAGAGGTATCAAATTAATATCCTTTAGAGACTGAGAGTGTATAATACACAGTGAATCAAATTTGGAAATTTAGGAGAAGGCTGTCAGAGTTGATCATCACATAAATTGCTAGTGCATTTAATAAATATATGAAAATAGAAGAAATTAAGTTACTCTGCAACTTATGTTTGTTCAGTTAGTTAGAAGTGCTACCATGACAAATGAATTTTAGATACCATAAGAGCAGCTTTGGATATTGTACATATTTTAGCTCCCTGCATTGTGTTATGTGTGTATCAGCAGCATTTTGGCACTGATAAGCGTGATGCTATAGCTGAATTAGTTCATATTTGCACCAAAAGCTTAGAAACAACTAAGTGTTAAATCATAGCTATGAGAACTGAAATATGGCATGACAGTTTTAAATAACAGTAGGTATTTGAAAGTTTCATGATTGTAAGTGAAAGCTAAAAGTATGCTCATAAAGACACCCTGAAGAACTTGGTGCTGAGACAGTAATATCTCAAAGTTATTTATACATTGCTGAAATTGTGAAAATATCAGTGAAAATTTTAGAGATGGGTAATAACAGTTTTAACCAAAAAGTTTTGTAACCATTTTCTCATAACACTGATAAAACTGTGAGAGAACCGTGCTCCTCAGGAGCAGTTAGACTCTCACATCAATGAGTAGACTAAAGTTCCATTAATATGAATCGATCATGACTCCTGTAAGAACCATCACAGTAGCAAGCATTTTACTAATGAATCAATGTTCGGCGTGATATATGCTGGCTGTCAAAAACTTACAGAATTGCTGTTGTCTATTATTGCAGTGATTTATGGATTACATTCACATGAACAGAAACACCCTCTTAAAACTCAGTTGACAGCAGTAGCGATAGAGAGAAGCACTTTGGCAGTGGGCAGTTTGTTGCATCCATGCATTAGGTTCAGGTGGGCTCTGCTAAAGAGGAGAGGTGCTCCTGGGTACAGCTTGCTAGAGGCTGAAGGAAGTAAACTAAAAGCAGTGTCTTAATTTCAAGTTTAATTAGACTGACAGAAGTTAAGAAAAAAAAAAGTGCTCAACAAATGGAAAAGGAAAACAAAACTTGGCAGTGAAAATTTATTATCTAGCTGCCAAGAAAGAATGACAAACAGTGGACATAAAAATATAATGAAAAACTATAAAACCTATTACTGAATAGTCCTTTTTTTCCATATCATAGAATCATAGAATCATAGAATGCTTAAGGTTGGAAGGAACCTCTAGAGGTCATCTAGTCCAACCCCCCTGCACATGCAGGGTCACCTAGAGCACGTGGCACAGGACTGCGTCCAAGCAGGTTTGGAAGATCTCCAGAGAGGGAGACTCCACAACCTCTCTGAGCAGCCTGTCCCAATGCTCTGTCACCCTCACTGTCAAGAAATTTTTCCTTAAGTTCATGTGGAACTTTTGGTGCTTCAGTTTGTGGCCATTACCTCTAGTTCTGTTGGTGGCCACCACTGAAAAGAGGCCAGCACCATCCTCCTCACTGTCTCCCTTGAAGTACTTGTAGACACTGATCAGGTCCCCTCTCAGCCTTCTCTTCTCCAGGTTGAACAGGCCCAGCTCTTTCAGTCTTTCCTCACAGGGCAGATGTTCCGGGCCCCTGATCATTCTCTTGGCCCTGCACTGGACTCTCTCCAGTAGCTCCACATCCCTCTTGTACTGATATGTATATCTTGGTATATCTTGGTAATTCTATCCTTGGTACGGCACAGATGGTTTCCTACTTTTGTATTTCCTACTGTTTCGTACATGTTTCCTGCCTTTTCATACACTACAGCAATAAGTTCTAGCATGTGGATTTCTTTTCATCCATCTATATATACATCTTGTATTAGGTATATTTAGAGCCAGATGAGGACCTTGCTTATTGCACCGCTTCAGATTGGTAGTCTGGGAAAGTGTCAGGCCAAAATGGTGCTGACACAGTGGAAATCGCAGCCTGCTGCACAGAGATTGGGCGAAGGTGTGGGGTGGTGTCAGATGTGGCACATCCGTGAGAATGTGACAGAGGGTGGTTGCGGGCTGGGAAAGCCCCACGCGCTCGTCTGTGAGCAGCTGCTCGCTACCACACACCTGAGGGAGCCACCACCGCCACAGAGGCTCTGCTCTTGCTTCTGCCTCTAAAACCATTTAATACAAATGATATTACCTGTGTTACTTACAAATTAATGCTACACTTTTAAAATTTTGCTGAAAGCACTGCAGTCAGAGGCAGAAAGACCCAGGCACAGCAGCAGGCTTAAAATTATGTACAATTTGGTGCCCCCCAGAGTGGGCAGCATCGCAGTAGATCAAGTCCTTGTTTCAGTTCTCTTATTTCTCTCTTTATTATTATAGTAATTGTCAGCACTTCTGCTTGAGAGCATAAATTCCAATTCAGCCCAGATCAGTAGAAAACAAAATTTTATTACCATCATAGGCAGTTCAACAATTCACACAAAATTATATAGAATATAAAAAGTGCTGGTCCTTGCTGGTTGTTACTAAAGAATTGTTTCAAAAACAAAAGAAAAAAAATCACAAATATAATATTTTCCCCTAACTTCAAATTGTGAAAGAAAGCTCAGAATAGATTCTGCAGATTCATATCCATAGGTTTTTGTTAAGTTGGGTGGTTGGATGAAAGATGTTTCTTCCTGCACCAGGCAGAAGGAAAGTTCTCCAGTAATTATAAGATACATCAAACATCTTCTGTAGAACCAGCCAAAATGAGCACAGATGTTTTTCATAATGTTGTTTTATTAACATTCAGCTCTGGATCCTGGCTTTACTCTGATCACCAGCCCCAGCTTGAGTGTTAGTGTCAGACAGGCAAGAAACCCCAAACAAATTTTTATTTGGGAAAAGGCTGGCTCAGCCTTCCGTGAGCTTTGTGGGATGGTTTGAGCAGTACTTTTGGTCATTTGTGAACAGCACGACATTGGAATTAATGAGGTTTTGCTCATATAAAATTTGGTCTGGACCTCCCATCATCCTTCTGACATTTTTTGTTATTATTAGCAAACTCAGAGAGAAGAGGAAAAAAAAAAAAAGATGCCAGGAAGATTATTGTGCTGAACTTCCCTTACTACCTGGGATGGGGTTCCCTATGGTACAAGAGTGAACATGGGATGGGTATCATGGGAAGTGGTGTAGCACCATTGGACTTCAATATACAACCTGTCTTTCTTTTGTAGATAACACATATGTTTCCAGTTCAGATAACGATGAAGATGTGTTAGTTACAACAGAGCCAATCCCAGTAATTTTCCACCAAATTGCTACAGGTAATCTTAAGTCACAAGTGTTTTATCAAGTTCACATTTGGTGAGAAAAGACAAAACTCTACACCTATATAAAGAGAAATGTGTTAATGTGTATAGTCGTGTAGCTTGCAGTTTCATCATAGACTTGCTATAGCGTACTGTCCCACATTTGAGAATAGAAGCAATTAAAATACTTCTTTCTGGGATCAACACAACTGTGTAGGCAGAATGTGTTTTATTCTTTTAATGTCTTGCAGTCTGTGCTAGCACATTTCTCCTGGAATCCAGTTAAGGTGCTTAACACTTCCCAATTATAAGTTCTCATGCTCACTTGCTTAAAACCTCACTAAATCTTCATCACTGGGGATGAAATTGTTTGTAGCAACCATTGTCTCTGTTGAATTATTTCAGAAAATTTGAAACAAAATTGTTCAGCCATTTCAGAAAATAAGGCTATAGAAAAAATATGGTTTCCAGTAATAAGAAATTTTAGGATCCTTTTAACTTGAAATTATTTCCATGCTCTACATGAAAGGGCATGCCTTTCAGAGATCTAGACACTTTTATACAATAGATAATCAAGATTTGTGTACACCCCATAGAGGTGGCTTATTTTTTGATTTTTTGATTCCCTGATCATTTTGAAGTGGAGGAGAAACTGCATAGAGCAGTCTTAATTCTGGCAGTTCATCAGATAGGAGCACTTGACTTTGCAGTCTTTTTATTATTATTACAATGCTTTAGGGCATTTTTATGTAACAGAATTATTTTGAATTCTATTAGAAAACTAATATGATCTTCAGTCTCTGATCTCATTTGGACCAATGTAAATCAAGAATAATTTTATTGAAGTTGGTGGCGTGGCACCCAAAAATATAAAGGGTCATTATAGTCAGAACTTTAAGATAAATTTATATTGCAGATATGTCTGTAATTTAAAAATAAATAAATCTTGTCATTTAAAATAGAATAAAACCCTACTTCAATTATGTACTTCAGCTCTCCATATGCAAAGTTATTTCACATTTTCAAGAATGTTCCTTATTCTCCTTTTTTTTTTTTAAAGAATTAAGGAAAACCAGCGATGTCAACTACTGCTTATCCATAAAATCAAAATTGCAAAGAGAAAAAGGAGAGGTATGTATTTTTATATGTATATTTTAATAAAAGATGAATTAATGAACTATAGAGAATAATTAAATATGAACATATAGCATATTTATTAAAAGCATACTTACCCAAACTGAGGGTTTGCATGTTTTAGAAGGTGGGCACATTTCTCTGCATTTCCTTGGGTGATTCACCACTGAATTGCTTAGTTGGGATGTGGATGCTGTCACCCTAGGAGGTGCAGTTTTGATATTTATATCCCTGCATGTTGAACAGGGGCATAGACCCTGTCTGCTCTAGAAATGTAGTTGTGCTAGGGAAGCTGATCAAGATGCCTTGTAACATAGTCTTGCACACAGGACCATGTCCTGTTTCTCAGCTCCCTGCTTATTCCTGTGGCCTGCAGTAATCCTGTTCGAGTCTCTGGGACTCTTCAAGGTGCTATTCACCATAAGTAGCATCTGGAAAATTAAGGCCTTCCAGCCACAGTTTTGTTTATATTGTATCTTTGTCAGAATTTCCTCTTGATATTAAGTCAAGAGAGAAATGATGGTAAAATGAGGTCCATGGCGCTGACAGCATTATGGGCTTGAGGAAAGTTCTGCATCTATTCCAATCACAGGCAAGAAATTGAACACTATATCCAGAGTTCAAGTGCTTAACTTCAGGATTTTCCTGAATAAAAATGGTTCTGAATTTGGAGTACGTTTTCCTTCGTTACTGCTTTTTAGTCTCACATCTGTACTTGATCCTGGAAAAGAGAGATAACCATGGGCACAAATGATACACATGATAATGGATTTATATTTATTTATATATATATATATAGTTTGATTTAGACATTTCATTGATTAAAAGTTAGCTTTATATGGGACAGAGTTTCAGCTTTTATTTTGTTTTTAATTGAACAAGGAACTTAAGGATATAAGTACTGGGGAAAAAAAATGTAATATAGAAATCTTCAACACTGACCATTTCTGTTGGCCAGACAGTTACAGGTTTTGGACAGGATAGGTTGGGTTCGTCACTCTTCTAGTGTGAGTTTCATTTCTCTTTAGCTTGCACTGAATTTGCGTTCATTTGAGTTCTGTTTTAAAACACACTTCCTGTTGAGCTAAGGTTATTATTTAACAAAGAAGACTAAAGTCATTTTGTTTCTCTTCAGCAAAGTAGAAGCAGAAATGCTTTTTATCCCTTGTTTTCAAAAAATTTCTGTGAAATTGACTGAATTAAAATTTTTGCTCTCCATATACATGCAGTGAATACAGCACAAATTTAGGGGCAAAGGCAAGGAAATACACTGAGAATGTCTGACCATAGAAATTGGTGATAATGGTGTATTTGACTTTTATGAATGCATGAGATTTAGGGGTAACTTCTATTCTTTGACTTTTTTTTTATTCCGTTGTCACAGTTTTATGCAGGATATAAATAAAAATATGTAATAAGTACATCATGTTCAGACTGAACTGAAAAATTACAATTTTTGAAATTATTCTTTGGGGGCTTCTTGTCAGCGTAGAGCCTAAGAGTTACAAATGGATTGTAGGAGACAAGTATTAATATCTTTAAATGATTACATAATAATAAGCAAAGGCTTCATTGGAAAGAAGCAGAATATAACACTTAGCTCATGCTGAGTTTCACTCTGTATCGTGATCAGGTCTATTTTCTTGAGTGCAATTATTCACAGACCAGCCTATTTAGAGCAGGTTTTACTTGAATAAGCATATTACTTTCTGACCTTTCATTTTTAAGTCCTACTTAGCCATAAAATTAAATTTGAAGATTTCTGGCAACAAGTCGATACTACTTTTCAAGTTAAAAATAATAGTGAAGCAGAAATATGTGAGTTTTTCATGGAAAGGAACTTAAAAATTCCCATTCTTGCACTTGAATTAGTTCCTTAAACCAACATCTCTGGATGGCTAAATTATATTTGGTTTGGCTTTAGCTATATTATAAAAGTCTTGATTCTGATTGCTCTGTACAGAAGCACAGAGTGAAATATTCATGCACATTCTCCCAGTTTTACTGGTTACATAGAATACCATCCTGCTCTGTACCCAGGAATATTTATCCAACATATGTTCAGGGTGTTTTTAAGTGCCCAGTTTATTGGTACAGGTTTTATCTGCTCTTTCACCAATGACCAAACAGACCTATCATACTATTCTAGAAAGACTACAGAGCAGGAAGGGCTTATTTATAAAGACAGAACTGCAGTATTCAGAAGTATAAATGCAAGACCAAAACATGTCATCTGCATCATTGTTAACTTTCCTTTTTAATTAAGGAGTCCAGGCATAACAGCACAGTTGAAGAGGATTCTGAAGGAGATAATGATTCTGAAGAATTTTATTATGGAGGACAGGTAATAGGGGATATTTTCCCATAGCTTTCAGAATGTTAACATTTGATAGCTTCTGTGGTTCATTTTATTATAAATATATAATAATGATTAATTTCTTCTGTTTAGTTAGTATGCTATAGAATGTAGTGAGTATGTATATTACTATTTTATGTACTATTTTATAGAAGGAATATTGAATATATGGTACAGTATAGTTATATCAAACTTATTGTAAGATCATTGCTTTTATAATTATAAAGCAGTAAGAACAGAAAAAAAACATCCATTTTTCAATAGGTTTGGAAAAAGGAATCCAATTGTTTACTTCCAGGAAATAATTATTTACACTTTAACACATGTTCTGTTATTAATACAAATCGGAAATCAGGCAGGATACAAAGCTGAATCCTTGTGGAGGATTGACATTCTGTAAAATCAACAGCATTGCAATTTAATGGTAAAAATGGTTATTTCAAAACAAATTTATGATCTAGGTAACAGTCCATTTTTTTTTCTGAAGTCTGCTATTAAATTCACCTTGAAAAATCCAGAATATTTTTTAAGATGACTGTCTTGCTCTGTCTTTCCTTGTTGTTCTCTCAGCAGAATTAGTTATTATGCCATCCTCTTATGTGTCGGCAAATAAAATCTCTCCTATCTTTTTCTTTTGAGATGTCAGTAGAGCGCTTCACACAGTCTCTATTCAGGTTTTGTTTTTTACTCTGACTGTTGCCCAAGAGGGCATCAGTTATGTTGTTATCAATAAACTGTCCTAATAATATTTTAGGAAATGAGGTCAATGCTTCTGGAAGTAGCTGCTGGCTCAGCATGGAGCCCTGTATGCGACACTGATGAGCGGGACACTGCCAGCCCTGCTCTGCTGCACAGCCCAACGCAGCCTGTAGTTAGAAAACAAAATAACAGGCAGGGTCCTTTACAGTACACATGTAGCCCTAAAAAGCTATTAAAAGCAGCACTGGAACTGAAAGAGTGCATTTTCAGTGTCAGAAAATAATTGACTCATGTTCACTTTGGCAATGGCTGCGTGTTGTCTCACATCAGCTACCAGCTCTCACGGCCCTATGGAGTATTGGAGTGGACTGTGTACACACACTTCATTGCAAAGCCCAGTGTCTTAGTTTATTATCTGTCTGAGAAGAAAAATCTGTTTTTGCCTTGTGATGATGAGTTGTGCACACTGGCCTTGTTTTTCAACGCTACAAAAAGGGCAGTAACCTCAAGATGAAGGAAAAGATAGGAGACAGCTGGAAGTGAAATCTTCTTCAACCAGTATGACTGGATTTCCTTGAGGGTATCTGTCAGTGCCCAAATAAATTTTAACACTGTATGGAGAATGAATACAGAAACAAATAAATCATTTTGCAAGATCTAAACCAGCTGTCTCATAGGTAATACAGTAGTATTAAAATTTATATATTTATTTATTATTATTTATATATTCCTTATATTTGAAGTGGAAGCTTTATACTATTTTGCATTCTAATTTTTTAACATAGTACATTTAATTGCAGGTATAATAGCAGGCAAAGAAGGGAATTACATTATAATTATATCACTAATAAAAATAACATATTGTTGTGAACATCATGAATATAAAATACTGGAAAAGCAAAATAAGGAGGACAAACTTACAAAAATAGCCTAAGACACCACCGAAACTATGTTTAACAGCAGAGAATAAAAAAAGACTACTTTGGAGATTGGATTACAAATTGCATGGTCAAAAAGAAGCAATTCTGAAGGCCTGTAGAATTAGAGAGAGATGGTAGTATCGAGGACTCAGGAAATAAATGGGGAACCAGAATGGTCAAGAGACAAAAAGAATAGTCCTTTCTTTAATGTAATAACTGCATGAGTTACCCATACAAATGAGCACTCAAGTTTATAGGGATTCAATATTTTTAAAAAAACAAAAGACAAAATAGTTGTATGTGTGAGCAAAAAAATTAGGTAAGTACTTGATTTGAGACATGTGAGTCTCTTCCCACAGCAAATCTCTTGGAAAAGGGGTCTAACACTGAGGTAGTGAATTCTAAGGGTCTGACCCTATGTTTACTTAAACAACTAGAGAGCAATTTATAGATGCTGGGATATTATTGGACGACAAGTTGACCATGAGGCAGCAGTGTGCCCTTGTGGCCAAGAAGGCCAATGGGATCCTGGGGTGCATTAAGAAGAGC